AGCAGTTTTGGAGGGTCTGAGTTTCAGAGCACCACTCTGGAGAGTGTGGAAATAGAACGGCAAAACCCCAGGGATGGGGCTCTGTCGTACGCTGACCAGAGCCCAGGGCACAGACTATCCTGTGACTCAGCAAAAGGCAAAAACTGGAGCACATGTGGTTCAAGTAGATCTGGAGGCAAACAGGCTCCAGTGAAAAACACACCAGAGGAATGCAACAGAGGGGAGGGGGTCCATAAACAACAGAACCCGCTGCCTAAGGCACTACAGAGGACTGATACACTCTGGGGCAGTCAAGACAGTCAGCAGCCACTAATTTGTGAAGGTGTATCAGGAAAGGAGATAGAGACAGGGGACAGGGGATATGTACAGTTCCTGGGACAGTCTGGAAACATGGGGACAGTTAAAGACATTGCTCCGGTGCATGTTGTGAGGGATGTGAGGAGGCTGGTGAAAAATACCTACAACCGGTCTTTCAAAAACGTAGGGGACACTGTTTTGGGACAAGAGGACAGCCACCCATCCTTCTATCAGCAGTCTGCGTATGACCAGGTCAGCCACGGACAGGCCTGTGGGGTCGGAGCAGCCAGGCCTGATGAAAAGCTGTTTGTGAAGAAGGTGTCCCCACCGGCACCGCTGAAGGTTGTGAACACAGCTTTACTTTACACCGCCCCAAAGGGATATGTAACCAAAGCCACAGCTCTCCGTGAATCACAAGACAGAATTTCTAACACTGGATTTACAAATATCACACCCCAAAGCCTTGCAAAGCCTTTTGGGAGAAGAGATAGCCAACCTCATATCAACCAATCTGATTCAACGTCAAAATACCCAAACAGAGCAGAGATACCCCGGCAGACCTGGTCTTCTGTGGAGCTCCCTAGTAAGTCTAATCAGCGACAGTGTGAAAGGACAGACACGACCAATGAAAAACAGAAATCACCACAAGCAACTGCCACAAATAGTTTTACTGCAGTTCCAACGTATTACACATCAGCAGCATACTTGTACCAGCCAAAACCGTATCAGTGTTCCAGTGTCAAGGATACCAGCCAAAATCAGGGCCTACCTCCCAGATCCCAGACTCAGACTACCCTCGCTTGCACACCTTCGCCTGCCTGCGTACAGCTCAACACCACCAGCCAAAATCAGGGCCTACCTCCCAGATCCCAGACTCAGACTACCCTCGCTTGCACACCTTCGCCTGCCTGCGTACAGCTCCACACCACTGGGACTCCACAGACGCTGATGTCTTCCTTCTTTTATCCAGCTAACCCAATGAGCTACCACACAATCCAAACCCATGAAGGAAAGATGGGTTTCATACAGGCCCCTGTACTGATGCAGCCTTCACTTCAAAACGTGCCTATCCAACTGCTGAGTGGAGAAAAATACGTCCCCCTTCAGCCAGCCGGGAATGGAGTAATCAAAATGCCCTCCCCAGAAACACAACAACAGCAGTACCTGTGCAGCACACAGGGTTTCATGGCCCCGTTGAGCACAGAGTACCTGCAGGGCAGTGCAGGCCTGGTGTACCCTGAGATGGCTGGAGGTCAGGTTTACGGACGGGGCCCCCGACACATGCTGATCGACCCGGAGACAGGGAGATGTTTCTACGTCGACGTTCCCCAACATCCCCCTCAGCCACATCGCAAGATACTGTTCGATCCAGAGACCTGCCAGTTTGTGGAGGTGCTGCTGCCACAGCAGACAGTCCCTACTGCAGTACTGCCACCAGTGTATGCAATGCCCTGCCACTCACTGCAATTCCCAGCCATGCACACGCCACAGTGCTTCTCTGTTCAGGCTCATCCACAGGAGATGCCTCACACAGGGCCCTGAGACTGCTAGTGGACTGCAATAGCAGAACACTACCACATGACTGCACACTGCGCTGTCCACGGAGTATGGACTGTGATGGTAGGCTGCCCAAGGTGATAGATCAGACAGTCTTAGCTACATGCTGTCAGGTTGAGTAAATCTTGGGTATCAATCGTAGTCGTTAAAGTCAGTGTCTCATCTCTGATTCTCTGAGACTCCTGACAATACCGATTAAGATTATAACTACCGGGACTTATACATCATCATATATCTGAGTGAGAGAACAGAGGGCAGCTAATGTACTTCAGAAAGTATTCATGCCCCTTGACTTATTCCACATTTGGTTGTGTTACAGCCTGAATTCAAAATGGATGAAAATATTATTTTTTTCTCAACCATATACACACACACACAATACCCCATAATGACTAAATGAAAACATGTTTTTAGACATTTGTGCTAATTTATTGAAAATGAAATACAGAAATATATCATTTACATAAGTATTTACACCCCTGAGTCAATACATGTCAGAATCCCCTTTGACAGCAATTAGAGCTGTGAGTCTTTCTGGGTAAGACTCTAAGAGCTTTTCACACCTGGATTGTACAACATTTGACCATTATTCTTTTCAAATTCTTCAAGCTCTGTCAAATTGGTTGTTGATCATTGCTAGACAACCATTTTCAGGTCTTGCCATAGATTTTCAAGTAGATTTAAGTCAAAACTGTAACTCGGCCACTCAGGACCATTCACTGTCTTCTTGGTAAGCAACTCCAGTGTAGGTTATTGTCCTGCTGAAAGGTGAATTCATCTCCCAGTGTCTGGTAGAAAGCAGACTGAACCAGGTTTTCCTCTAGGAGTTTGCCTGTGCTTAGCTCCATTCCGTTTCTTTTTTATCCTGATAAACTCCCCAGTCCTTAACGATTACAAGCATACCCATAACATGATGCTGCCACCAGTATGCTTGAAAATATGGAGCGTGGTACTCGGTAATGTGTTGCATTGGATTTGCCCCAAACATAACACTTTGTATTCAGGACAAAAAGTGAATTGCATTGCCACATTTGTTGCAGTATTACTTTAGTGCCTTGTTGCAAACAGGATGCATATTTTGGAATATTTGTATTCTGTACAAGCTTCCTTCTTTTCACTCTGTCAATTAGGTTAGTATTGTGGAGTAACTACAATGTTGTTGATCCATCCTCAGTTTTCTCTTATCACAGCCATTAAACTCTGTAACTGTTTTAAAAGTCACCATTGGCCTCATGGTGAAATCTCTGAGCGGTTTCCTTCCTGTCTGGCAACTGAGTTGGGAAGGACGCCTGTATCTTTGTAGTGACTGGGTATATTGATACAGCATCCAAAGTGTAATTAATAACTTCACCATGCTCAAAGGGATATTCAATGTAAAAAAAAAATGTTTTGTTGTTTTGAAAAACTTCCTGGTCTTTGTGGTTTAATCTGTGTTTGAAATTCACTGCTCGACTGAGGGACCTTACAGATAATTGTATGTGTGGGGTACAGAGATGAGGTTGTCATTCAAAAATCATGTTAAACACTATTATTGCACACAGAGCGAGTCCATGCAACTTATTATGTGACTTGCTAAGCACATTTTTACTATTTAAGGTATTTAGGCTTGCCATAACAAAGGGGTAGAATACTTATTGACTCAAGACATTTCAGCATTTTTTATTTCTAGTAATTTGTACAAATTTAGAGAAACATAATCCCACTTTGATACAATGGGGTATTGTGTGTAGGCCCGTGAAAATAATCTACATTTAATCAATTTTAAATTCAGGCTGTAACACAACAAAAAGTGGAATAAATCAAGGGGTGTGAATAAAGGCACTGGTTCCTTGAACCCTCCTATTCCCTTTCCTATTGACAATGTGTATTTGTGGGCAGATACTTGATGATCTTTTACTCATTTTCTAACATAAACAATTTTTTTTTTTTTTGTGGTAATGTTTGCCATGTATAGTTGTGTAATATAGATAAAACACATTCTTAACACAGATTATATTTTTCCAAATTTCAAAGGAGAAACGTAGAAATTCGATTGCTAGTGGTTGATTTTTTTTTTTTACACTGAGTGAAAAGTTTTCTAAAAATAACAACAAAGCTTGATAGGATCACATTTTTCCTTCATAAAGCTTTTGTTTTCTTTTCCATCTCACCATTGTTTGCTTGAGGAGCGAGGCCTGAACAAAACGAGAGGGCAGCTGTCGTCAGATTACAAACTAATCGCCAGGGCAGACTGCAATGGGCACTATTGACAGAGACCTTGGCAGACAAAGGCTCAGGGTGTAATGTGGATGGGAAATTTCAATTCAACATCTTTCATCATGTCTAAGTGAAATCAATCATGAACAGTCATAAAGATACGGATCCTGTGCTTCCTTGATAGATCAATAGATCCTAGCCTCTTGGTTTGCGCCTTTTTAGAATCACTTCTAGAGGTCACACCCGTGTCACAGTCTTCCAATATGTGCAGTGTTGTTTCATGGTCTCTCTCAGTTAATACTACAGTACAATTGACTTGACATAGAAGCCTGTGGGTTTTCTTCCTTATGGCACTTTTTTTGTCAGATTGTAAATCTGTTCATCGACAGCTCTACTCTCATTAGTCTGTTTTGACATGTTATTGTAACACTTAATAATGTAAACAAACATTTGACAGTCAAACATAGGAACGCTTTCCTTAATTGTACTTTAGTTTTATATCATAAATGTTTTGCATTACCTCACACCTGTTTGAGTTCCGATCATCAGAAGAGATACACTATCATTACTTAGACAATAAAGACTGCTAATGTTGTCTCTGCTTCTTCAATACTGTCTACATACAAGTATAAGGTCAGTACGCATCTGAATATATGACGCTTTGTTCTTCAACATCCAAACATAATGCTGTGAGGTGGTGGGTAGAACAATGGGGACAGTAGACAACCCTCCCAAATCAATGCGGTGAGGGATGTGCTCTAGTAAATAAAAACGCAACATCATTCTACAACATCGGCATCATTTTGCCCAGTCACTGTTCATTGTCCTGTTTCTCAATTGCAGACAGTGCATTTTTCGATTACAACTATAAGTGTCCAAAACAATAAATAGCTGTGAAAAATACAGCTCAGTATAAAAAATTATCTGAAAGATGAATCATTGGAGGGTTACTATACTTTGGTGCAGGCCAATGTAATTGTTGTGTCCATGCGTAAACTCTCATTCCGCTCTCTTAATTCATCCTCCATGTTTTCCTGCACGCTGTCCTTTCGTCTGCGCCGCGTGAAGCCTTGGAAGCTGGGGGAGATGGGTAGATAGCGCAGGTAGCTGACCTTCCTAACGCAGCTCATTCCAACGGGGAAGTCATAAATACGCATGTTCGCTGAGCTTCCCCCACTGCTCTCATCAGCCTTCCAGTTCAGCAGCCCTCTCTCCTTCCTGGTGCCTGTTTAAACCGCACGCACAAGCATACACACACAAACATACAAGCAAACACACAATGCCACATAAACAAACATTGGTAGTTACAGGCAACGGTTGCGCTAAATTGAAAGATTGATGTGATATCGTGGTGACACATAAACAAACACAAAGCAACTGATGATCTCTTTGATCAGTGTGTGACAAGGTGACTAGTAGCTCATGTTAATGAGATGAGGTTTCACATTCTCACATAGCATGCATACCTGGGATGGTGTTATCCAGCGCAAACGCCAGGAAGCCTCCGACAAACATCTCCGTGGTTAGGAGCACTGTAAGGATTTGATCCACCTCTGGAACTCCTGAGCAGGGCAATAAAATATGTATTACCAAATTAATGATCCTAATCGTTATTCATAACATCAACATATTTATCCATACTAAAGCTTCATAACAGTCTTAGTGTACACACTGTAAACTCTCTAAAGCCACTCCTACACTTCCTCTTAAAATGGAGATGTCTTTTCAAATCAGTAAAACCATTTTCAATGTGCAGTCCACCTGTTTGGATGCAGCCGGGATGCAAGTCTAGGTAATTGGGCAACATTAGGCCAAAGAACATGGAGAAGCCAAGGACAAAGAGATTCCTAGATGAGTTGAGGTCTACAGTCTGCAGGTTGGACAAGCCCACAGCGGTGATCATACCTGCAAGGCATAGACAACACAAACAGAGGGGTGGATAAGGTTATTATTGTCTCATTTTGATCTAGTTATCTGTGTTTCTAGCTAGACATATAATTTCCTCATCCCGTCTAAAATAGAGGTGCGCTTTCTGTGATCATACTGCCCCCCCGTGGGTGAGAGAGAGAGGTGACGCTGTGTGTGAGATCTCTGTTAGGAGGTCAGTGACTCACCGAACAAGGTGCAGAACATGCCGCCTAAAATGGGGTCAGGCAGCGATGCAAAGAGGGCAGTGAATTTCCCCACAGTTCCTAACAGGAGCATTATGGCCGCACCGTATTGCACCACTCTCCTGCTTCCTACCTGTGTGTAGAGAGACACCGTACAACGTGACTCAATGTGAACTGTACAACCTCTAGTATCAACCCATTGTTTATTAATAATTATTTGCATTGTGGCAAAGCGCTTGCACTGGAGATCATGTTAATAAGCCTTTATCTGTTTCAAAAATATAATATTGCTGATTCCAACTTGAACTAGATTTAAATACAGGATTTGAGATTACATATCTAATCCGTGTTTTCAGTACATAGATTAAAGACAACATGTCTGAGAACAATCTGGGGAGTGGCTTAGGGGCCAAGGGGGTCATATCTAGACAGAATACAGTTTATGTCAAATTTACATCAAAAGCGGAAACATTTAGCATTTTAGCTAACCCTTTTCCTAACCTTAACTTAAGTCTCCTAACCAGCTACGTTACTTCTCCTAACCTGCTGCGTAAATTCTCCTAACCTGCTACGAAAATTCAATTTTGACATAAACTGTACTCCATCTAGTCAAAACCAGTTGAGGGATTAAGCTTCCTTGCCTTAGTGATTCCCAGAACTCCAATATTGGGACTGGAGGAGGTGGAGCCATTTCCTGTACCCAGCAGTCCTGCTATAATACAACAAACACCCTCTGTGAAGATACCCCTGGTATGGGAAAGACATGACACAGACACAAACATACATCAACACAGGCTACTGATGCTTGACAATAAGAGGGCATTCTAGAACATAGGTCCCCTGTCAGAGCCTTTATTAGAAGTCTAACCCCTGGCGTAGAAGACTGAAGCACACCTGTTGATGGCATGGATAGGTGGCGGGGGTGCCCCAGAGAGGCGGGCACAGGCGTAATAGTCCCCGATAGACTCTACAATGCCAGCTAGTGTGGCGCTGAACATGCCCAGCACTCCGGCGATGGTCACCGTGGGCAACCCCCACTGACCTATCAGGGACACACAAACACCAGAAGTCAGAATCCTCCTCCTATGCGGCAAGATGAAAGGCATTGGCAATGGATGACAACTCAGATCATTTCCCCATTTAAAATGATATACAGTGCATTTGGAAAGTATTCAGACCCCATGACTTTTTCCACATGTTGTTACGTTACAGCCTTATTCTTACATTTATTTTTTTGTCTCTTTTTTTCCCCTCATCAATCTACACACAATACCCCACAATGACGAAGCAAAAACATCAAGGATCTCTCTGTACTTTGCTCCGTTCATCTTTCCCTCGATCACGACTAGTCTCCAAGTCCCTGCCGCTGAAAAACATCCCCACAGCATGATGCTGCCACCACCATGCTTCACTGTAGGGATGGTGCCAGGTTTCCACCAGACGTGACGTTTGGCATTCAGGCCAGAGACTTCAACCTTGGTTTCATCAGACTAGAGAATCTTGTTTCTCATGGTCTGAGAGTCTTTAGGTGCCTTTTGGCAAACTCCAAGCGGGCTGTCATGTGCCTTTTACTGAGGAGGGCTTCCGTCTGGCCACTCTACATTTTAGTCATTTAGCAGACGCTCTTATCCAGAGCGACTTACAGTTAGTGAGTGCATACATTTTCATACTCTACCATAAAGGCCTGATTGGTGGAGTGCTGCAGATATGGTTGTCCTTCTGGAAGGTTCTCCCATCTCCACAGAGGAACTCTGGAGCTCTGTCAGAGTGACCATCAGGTTCTTGGTCACCTCCCTGACAAAGGCCCTTCTCCCCCGATTGCTCAGTTTGGCCGGGCGGCCAGCTCTAGGAAGAGTCTTGGTGGTTCCAAACTTCTTCCATTATATAGACAGGTGGGTGCATTTCCAAATCATGTCCAATCAATTGAATTTAGCACAGGTGGACTCCAATCAAGTTGTAGAAACATGTCAAGGATGATCAATGGAAACAGGATGCACCTGAGCTCAATTTAGAGTCTCATAGCAAAGGGTCTGAATACTTGTGTAAATAAGGTATGTGTGTGTTTTATTTTTAAAAGATTTGCTAACATTTCAGAAAACCTGTTTTCGCTTTGTCATTATGGAGTATTGTATGTAGATTGATGAGATTCCATTTTAGAATAAGGCTGTAACGTAACAAAATGTGGAAAAAGTCAAGGGGTCTGAATACTTTCCAAATGCACTGTATAAGGTCATTCTAAAGTTGCTAATAAATGACCAGTGTCATCCACTTTCTTAACTTGACCCTTGATCTGGCTCATGTGTCCAAACTGCCCCATTGTGTGAGACAGTGGAGGTAATGCTGGCCTCTTACAGGGATAAGGGACCCGGAACCAGGGGGAGAGGGTCATGATGTCACCACGGGCGTCGGTGCGTGCCTTCTGCCCGTACTGGCTGGGGTCACTGGGCAACACGTCAGTCAGGGTCAGGATGTAACATAGCAACCACACCAACATGATGGCCATGATGATCTGAAGACGGCGCCACAGACACACAGAAATAACAGGGGAACAACATAACATGTCATGTAACAGAATCATAGGGATTCCAAGTTTCCAATATTCCAAGTTATCATTTTGGATGTGCCTAGTCTGTGCCATATTTCCATTTTCATCAGAAAGCTAATACTTGGCTTTAACATAATGGTGAAATGATCCCTGTGGTCTGTGTCTGTCTATCACAGTGAGTCATTTCTATAGCCTGACAGTGTCCCCATGACCTGTCGGGCATCACTCACTAAGGCAGGAGCACAAGAGGGCAGTGCAGGAAAGTGTTCCTCAGACTCTCTTATAACAGCTCAAGATTTGGATGACATGATGTGCTGTGAATGATTAGCCTGATGTATTTATGATGAACACTAGACCATGCCCCAACATGAGAACGTCTCACATTAGTACGACCAGAATAGGAGGGCTTTCTAACATCCCTGTGAGACAGGATGGTGTGGTGTGTTGGTTCTAACCGGGAACATCTTAAAGATCTGGACCCTGGCGGTGCTGAAGCCTTTCTTCCTGTTGTAGGTGAGGAGAGGGAAGGACCAGTTCCTCAGGTACTGAGCAAACAGTACGATGAGGAAGATGCACCTGGGGAGAGGCAGTGATATAGCTACACCGTAACCCAGTCAAAGACATCAAACAGGGGGAAAAGGTCATTACGTTAATAGTATGTGATTCAATCAAAAAGCTTCAATGGACCTTGGACGTAAGACGATAAAGAGTCTCAAGCCCAAAACAAGGTGAACCATTTAAACTAAAGAAGTGCGGAAGAGAGGTAAGGAAAACATGCCGCACACAATAATACAACTCAAGACAACATAGTTGGATCTCAAGTGTAAAAACACGAGAGGAGAGGAGAGGATGGAGAGAGCAGAGAGAAACCAGGGAGGAGCATACATTACAGAGCAGAAGGGAGGATGGATTGTGCTCTTACAGTGCCGAGAGGCCCCAGTGAGAGCCGGCTCTGTCCCCGGCCGTCTGGAAGACAGACAGGCCGATGAGGGACACGGTGGGGGTGACGGTCAGTGGCCCGATGTAGTCCAGCAGGAGACCAGGGAGACCCACCAGCCCGATGACCACCTCCACCACACTGGACGCAATGATGGCACCCTGGATCTACAGAGGAGAGAGACCGACTGTTATTATCATTAGGTATGTCTAGGACCACCATGTGACCTGACCCGGACAAACGATGGGTCCTAGTTATGTCTACATGATGTCTCTGTTAATGTCAATCAAAGTGAGAGATGCTACAGTTCAGAAGGATGGAACCCAAGATGGAGGCTCACTGAGAGATGCTACAGTTCAGAAGGATGGACCCCAAGATGGAGGCTCACTGAGAGATGCTACAGTTCAGAAGGATGGACCCCAAGATGGAGGCTCACTGAGAGATGCTACAGTTCAGAAGGATGGACCCCAAGATGGAGGCTCACTGAGAGATGCTACAGTTCAGAAGGATGGACCCCAAGATGGAGGCTCACTGAGAGATGCTACAGTTCAGAAGGATGGACCCCAAGATGGAGGCTCACTGAGAGATGCTACAGTTCAGAAGGATGGACCCCAAGATGGAGGCTCACTGAGAGATGCTACAGTTCAGAAGGATGGACCCAGAGATGGAGGCCCAGTGGCAAGAGGCAGGAAGTACCTCTCTTATCCTTGGGTGCCAGATGTGGGAGGTGTTCAGAGGAAGACTCCAGTTCCCATAAATCTCCTCTGTGGAAAGACAGACACAATAGCACATTAGTGAGGTTCTGTCTGTGATTGGGCCATGTTCTTCTGATATAGGATGGGACTGAGGGGCGCACCTTCAGGGGGACATTTCCATCTTTCCAGTCCTAAGATGGCTTGGGCAGGGATGAGGAAGGCAAAAGCACTGGCCTGGAAAAGAGGTAACCTAAACATGGAAGATACAATGTTACACATGCATGCCAAGCATTAGAAGACACACACACACACACACACACACACACACGTACCTGACTCCAAATGTGGTCTGTATGAGTGTGGTGATTCCCACACAGGTGAAGATGGTTCCCACCAGCTGACTGACCGTGTACTGGTCTTGTCCCACACACATGGCCTCCGCCAGTAGGAAGGGCACAGCGATGGTCCCGCTGAAACACGTCAGGTAGTGCTGCGATCAAAGACACAGTGTTAATCACCATGGATAGAGAGAGAGAGAGAAAGAGAGGGGGAGGGAGAAACAGAGGGAGGGGGGGAAAGGGCGCACACAAGAGAACAAGAAAAATATACAGACAGAAAGGTGGAGTCTACTCATAAAACCATTCATTTAAACTAAGTGTGTGTGAGAGAGTGTGTGTATTTGTGTACCTGGAGGCCCAGTAGAATGCAGAGGTACCACGGCGGGACATCCTCTATGGTGTAGATCATGTCAAAGCCTGGCTGCTGCTTCTGCTGTTGTCCCTCTGCAGACAGTTTCCCCCCCTCAGTACCCTCCTCTCCCTCTGCAGACAGTTTCCCCCCCTCAGCACCCTCCTCTCCCTCTGCAGCCAGTTTCCCCCCCTCAGTACCCTCCTCTCCCTCTGCAGACAGTTTCCCCCCCTCAGTACCCTCCTCTCCCTCTGCAGACAGTTTCCCCCCCTCAGTACCCTCCTCTCCCTCTGCAGACAGTTTCCCCCCCTCAGCACCCTGCTGCTGCTCCTCTGTCTGAATCTGGACATCACATCTCTGAGAGGGAGGACAGAGACATTTACACATCCAAAGTAACATTGGGTAACTTGGCATACACACCGTTTGAAAGTAGAGAGTCACATGATGTTCAACAACTGGGAATAATCGATGACCTCTCATTCATCATACAAATATACCTTATATGGCACAAGATTGTCACCCACGTGATTCGTCACTGTCCCATACTGCCTTGCCATCTCCACTGAAGCCAACCGTCAGGCACATGATGACCTGGGTGTCACACCTATTTGAATTGACCTCTCTACGAATGATCAACATGGGCCTGGATTATGTTATAACCCAGAAGAATGTCACCGTGACCGTGGCCAGTCGTCATGGTTCTTGGAGTTGACTGTTTTGAAAGATGATGCAAGAGGAGCTCTTCCGTGACTAACTCATCAAAGTAGACTGGATTTCTTTCTAAACCACAGGTCAGTGTTTTGGCACTGGTATCTAGGTTAACAGCCTTGGTCTTTCAATAAATTCCATTCTGATCAAAGTATCATCTTTGCATCTTTGTCAGAGCCAATGTTAGAACTGTCTTCTACAAATCAGTGTCTCCACTTTTGCTATGAGGTATTGTGTCTTTAATCAATAGCCACAAATGTCCTGCAAAAGCATGGTTTCAGATATCAATCCAGAACCACCCTCCACAAGTTGTTATTCAATCAGACGTCATGGCAGTAAATCTCCTAATCTGAGCATGGTAAACACCTTGGTCATTTCACCCCAAAGGTAAACAGAAATACTTCGAAAACATCCAATGATGCAATATACTAAGTGTAAAGTTGAATTATTCAAGTTTACAGAAAGAAGGCCATAGCACACTAAGGACCAGTGGTGTAAAGTACTTAAGTAAAAATACTTTAAAGTACTTAAGTAGTTTTTTGGGGTATCTGTACTTTACTATTTATATTTTTGACAACTTGTACTTTTACTTCACTACATTCCTACAGAAAATATTATACTTTTTACTCCATACATTTTCCCTGACAACCCAAAGTACTTGTTACATTTTGAATGCTTAGCAGGACAGGAAAATTGTGAAATTCACGCACTTATCAAGAGAAAACGTGGTCATCCCTACTGCCTATGATCTGGCAGACTCACTAAACACAAATGCATCTTTTGTAGATAATGTCTGAGTGCTTGAGTGTGCCCCTGGCTATCCATACATTTTAAAAACAAGAAAATGGTGCCGCCTGCTTTGCTTAATATAAGGAATTTGAAATGAGTTATACTTTTGCTTCTACTTTTGATACCTAAGTATATTTTAGGAATTACATTTACTTTTGATACTTAAGTATATTTAAAACCAAATACTTTTAGACTTTTACTCAAGTAGTATTTTACCGGGTGACTTTCACTTGTACTTGAGTAACTTTCTATTAAGGTATCTATACTTTTACTCAAGTATGACAATTGGGTACTTTTTCCACCGCTGCTAAGGACCTACACACCACACATTAACTCATCCATAATACATGATCTCGCCAGGCCAGATAACGTACACTTACAATTTAAAACATTCACAACAAAACATAACTCATCAATGTATTGAAATGATAGTAAATGATGAGTTTTACCTTGAGGTCTGGTTGTGTTTCTGTGTCCTCCATCGTCTTCATCTGGACTCTCAGTTGTTTGTGATGGATCCTTCGTTTCTTTTGGGTGCTGCCCTCTCTCAGCTAGCCAACACATGTGTGACCTCAGCCCTATACATGAGTAGAGTAGCCCTTTTATTGGGGTTGAGGGGACCAGATCAGCCAGGTTAATAATCTGCCCCCGAGATGGACTTTACCCACTCGTGCTGTTTAAGAGGCTGAGACGGTAAAATTAAAGGAAAAGGATCCAGGGGTCAAGAAGACACTTCTTGGAATTAGAGATAGTGGGCAAGAATCAGATTAGCCAGGTAGCTTAGTGGTTAAGAGCGTTGTGCCAGTAACCGAAAGGTCGCTGGTTCTAAACCCTGAGCCGACTAGGTGAAAAATCTGTCGATGTGCCCTTGAGCAAGGCACTTAACCCTAATTGCTCATGTAAGTCGCTCTGGATAAGAGCGTCTGCTAAATGACTAAAATGTAAATGAAAGAACTACATGTACATCAGAAGGGTTACATTTGAAGTTATAGATATGTGACCAATTCTGCATTTAATTTTATCAAAAAAGGAAGAGGTTGTGATGGCATCTAGACTATGTGTGTTTGAGTGAGGATATCGGGGTTTGAGTGAGGATATCGGGGTTAAATAATACGTTTCATAAGCTTCATAAGTGACTCCTCCCATCTGAAAGGTGCTGTCATGAATGTTATAACTGTTTACACAAAGGTGTAAGAATAAAACAGGACTGCATACGAGTAGACTGGTCTGATTTTATTTTATTAGTAAAATCTGAAACCTGGTAAAGACAGTGATGCATCAAAGTATATGTTCGTTCCATTGGGCCCATACATACGTGAGTGAAGTGTGGTCAAAAAACAAAGAGACGTTCTTGCAATTAACCTTCTGGCAAATCATTTGTGGAATTATGGAAAACAAAAGCATCAACTGTTTGATTCAGCACCATCAGACCAAACAGAAAACAAGGACCTCAGCAACCCGAGCCACAGCCTGTTCACCCCGCTTCCATCTAGAAGGCAGAGACAGTACAGGTGCATCAAAGCTGGGAAACAGCTTTGATCTCCAGGCCATCAGACTGTTTGTTTAATAGTCACCACTAGCCGGCCTCCGCCCAGTGAACTTAGTCACTGTCACTAGCTGGCTACCATCCGGAACTCTACCCCGCACCTTAGAGAATGCTGCCCTATGTACATAGAGTCATTGAACACTGGTCACCTTAATAATGTTTACATACTGTTTTACCCACTTTATATGTATATACTGTATTCTAGTCAAGGCTCATCAACAAAACAAAAATAGAAACGCAACATGCAACAATTTCAATGATTCTACTGAGTTACAGTTAATATAAGGAAATGAATCAATTAAAATAAATTCACTAGGCCCTAATCTATGGATTTCACATGACTGGTAGGGGCATGGATCAGAAAACCAGTCCGTATCTGGTGTGACCACCATTTGCCTCATGCAGCGCAACACATCTTCTTCACATAGAGTTGATCAGGCTGTTGATTGTGGCCTGTGGAATGTTGTCCCACTCCTCTTCAATGGCAGTGTGATGTCAAAATCAAATCAAATGTTATTTGTCACATGCGCCGAATACAACAGGTGTAGACCTTACCGTGAAATGCTTACTAACAAGCCCTTAACCAACTGTCACGTCTCCTCCCGTTGCTCCCCTCCGGCGCTCTGATTCGCCGGTCTACTGAGCCACCGGTCTGAGCGCACCACTTTGGCAACACCGGAATGGAAACCCAACGCACCCTACATTTACATTTTAGTCATTTAGCAGACGCTCTTATCCAGAGCGACTTACAGTTAGTGAGTGCATACATCATTTTCTTTTTCATACTGGCCCCCCGTGGGAATCGAACCCACAACCCTGGCGTTGCAAACACCATGCTCTACCAACTGAGCTACATCCCTGCCGGCCATCCCCTCCCCTACCCTGGACGACGCTGGGCCAATTGTGCGCCGCCCCATGAGTCACCTCTAGCGTACCTGCACCTCATCATCTCATCACCACCCCTATTTAGCCCTGGAATGTTCTGGAAGATGTTGTGTGTGATTGTTTATGTCGTTTACTCTATCTTTGTTATTTCTCTTTGTCATTGTCAAGTAAACCTTGACCTTGTTAATTCCTGCGTCTGCGTCCTGCCTCTTCGGTTACTCAGTACTCGTCACAGAATCACACACCAAACGAAAATGGATGCAGCAGGAGTTTTCCCTGTGCCCCGACCAGCACCAGCAGCAGCTTGCCCAGTTGAACGCCGCCATGCAGGAAGTGCTCCAAACTCTGCATAATCTGCCCAGTGTTCCGGTTCCACCTCAGGGAGCGGCGAGTGCCCCCAATCCACCTGTTCCCGTGCTATCACCCACTTCTGCAGGAAACCTTCCCTACCGGAGCGCTATGATGTTAAAACTACTAAATGTAGCGGCTTCCTGCTACAGGTTTCACTTTATCTGGCGCGTCAGCCTGGGGTATATCCATCTGACCAAGCCAGGATAGCGCTGGTGATTTCGCTACTTAAAGGAAAGGCGCTGGATTGGGCCACGGCAGTCTGGGAAGGAGAGGAGGCAGTGTCACTACCCTACCCCACCTTCCTCGCTCGGTTCAGGGCGGTGTTTGATCATCCCACGGAAGGAAAGGTGAGCGTCTCCTCCATCTACAACAGAGAGAGGGGCCCGCGTCCGAGCACCCTCTGAGCTTTCGCACGGTGGCGGCGTCTTCCGGCTAGAATGAGCGTGCTCTGCGCATAGCCTTCAGGAGAGTCTTACGGGAGGACATCAAGACGGAACTCGCATGTCTGGACGACGAGATGGACCTTGATACCCTCATCACCACATCTTGACGACATGTTGCGAGAGAGACGGCATTCCCAACACGTCCCGGAGCCTCGACGCTCACCCCATCTGAGCTATGGAAGCCGCCCTGCTTCCGAGTCCTCACCCATGGAGTTGGGCAGCACCCCCTACACCACCACGGACCACAAATCTGCTGGCCGGCTCCCTATCTAGGCGGTATGACTCCCGTCGCCGCTCCATGAGTGTTACCTCAGCTTCTATCACAAAACCATTGTTTTTAGTTCCCATAACGGTGTCTGGTTATTCCTTCTCTTCCATTTCTACTGCTATGATAGATTCCAGATCAGCGGGAAACCTTATAGATAGGGAGCTGGTCTCTGAATGGGGGTTGCCCACCGTGCCACTGCCATCTCCGCTACACGTCACCTCACTGGACAATAAACCCCTTGGATCAGGCACCATTACGGACGTCACTCTCCCCATCACCATCACCATTCACACACTACTGGAGCACCACGAGGAGCTGTCATTCCACATCGTCACGTCACCCCTTCACCGGATCGTCTTGGGATTGCCCTGGCTCAGACTACACAACCCCACCATCAATTGGATCACCAAGAGGATCACAGCCTGGTCCACCTCATGCCGGAAGACCTGCCTGCCGGTGGTTTGTTGTTCCACGTCAGTGGAGAGTCCGGAGTCCGCCCTCCAGCCCAACATTCCACTTGAGTACGCAGATCTCTCCGATGTCTTCTCTTCATTAAAGGCTACGTGTCTCCCTCCTCACAGGCCCTGGGACTGCGCCCTCCGAAGAGTCGCATTTACCCCCTTTCCATGGCGGAGGCCATGGAGAAGTATGTGGCGGAGACCCTGAAACAGGGGTTCATCAGACGCTCTACCTCTCCTGCCTCCGCCAGCTTCTTCTTCGTGGCCAAAAAATACGGAGGACTGAGACCATGCATTGACTACAGGGGGCTGAATGCAGTCACCACCAAGTACCGGTACCCCCTCCCTCTGGTTCTGTCGGCCATCGAGCAGCTACGAGGGACCCGGTACTTTACCAAGTTGGACCTGAGGAGTGCCTACAATCTGATCCGAATCCGGGAAGGAGACGAGTGGAAGACAGCCTCCGCCTCCGGGAACACAGCCTGTTGGTGAAGGGGGAGAAATGTGAATTCCACCAACAGGCCAACTCCTTCCTGGGATATCGGATCAGTCCTCAGGGGGTGTTCATGGAAGGAGTGAAGACGGACACCGTCAGGTCATGGCCAGTTCCCACCACCATCAAGGGCCTACAGAGCTTCCTGGGATTCGCTAATTTCTACCGGCATTTCATCAGGTCCTTCAGCTCCATAGCCGCCCCGCTCACCTCTCTCCTTAAGGGTGGGCCTCAGAAGCTGGCCTGGAACCCTGAGGCTGACGCTGCCTTCAAGAGGCTGAAGGAGAGGTTCACCACAGTGCCCATCCTAAAACACCCAGATCCATCTCGTCCTTTCATCCTGGAGGTGGACGCATCAGAGGAGGGCATGGGTGCCGTCCTCTCCCAGCGGCAAGGTAAGCCAGAGAAAATGTATCCCTGTGCCTTTTTCTCTAAAAAGCTTACCCCCGCAGAGAGGAACTATGGAGTTGGAGACAGGAAGCTGTTGGCGGTGGTCCTCGCTCTGGAGGAATGGAGACACTGGCTGGAGGGCGCAGTCCATCCATTCCAGATTATTACTGACCACTGGAATTTGGAGCACATACGGGCAGCGAAACGGATGAACTCTCGTCAAGCCAGGTGGGCCCAGTCTCTCACTCGCTTCCAACTCTTTCTGACCTACCGCCCAGGATCCCAGAATGTGAAGGCCGACGCACTGGGGGGTCCTATCCTGCCCTCGTCTCTCATCGTTGCACTTGTCGTTTGGGATGTGGACGAAGACATCCGCCTGGCAGCTCAGGAGGACCCAGCGCCTGCCAATGCCCCTCCGGGGCGTGTGTATGTACCCACCAGTGTCCATGACCGCCTGCTGATCTGGGCGCACACCACCCTTACGGCAGGGCACTCTGGTATTATGCGCACCCTGCATTCTCTAGCCCAAAAATACTGGTGGCCCACCTTGGCTTCTGATGTCTCCCACTATGTCAACTCCTGTTCCGTATGTGCCCAAACGAAGACATCTCGGAACGCCACGGCAGGCAAACGAGTTCCTCTCCCAGTGCCTCAGTG